GACTCATTCCATCAGAATTAAAGTATGTTCATAAAAATATAACTCTAGAAGAATTAATATCCAAATATAAAAATTAAAACTAAAAAATACATAAAGAACATTTTAATTATTATTTGTTACTATGAGACTTGATTTTTTTAAAAGATAAAAAATTTGTCCGCCTGAAACTAGTTTTTTTGTATTCAAAAGAAAATCTGAATAAGTTTTTTGAAACTCACCTAAAGAAATATCTTTAATATATAAAAGAAAATTTTAATATCCTTAACAAAAATATAGAATGAAAACTGATATATAAAAAAGTAAATAATTTGACAAAAAATAGGAAAAGTTTATGAATAGAAAAATACACAGAAGTCAGAATAACAAGTAATAAACACGAAAAGACCTTCAACATAGTGAGTGGTTAGAGAATGCTATATATGAAGGGGTTTTCACTTTTATGTTAGAAGGAGTGTGAATTTCTACAGACTTTTCTGAGAATTTAATATATGTATAAATTGTTGGCAATATATGTTCCAGGCATACATTGTTTTATTGCATTTTGGTTGACTGTGCTTCACAAATACTGTGTTTTTGTTTTTTTTAGAAATTGAAGTTTTGTGGCAACCCTTTGTACAGCAAGTATATCGGCACCATTTTTCCAACAGTAAGTGCTCACTTTGAGTCTCTATGTTACATTTTGGTAATTTTCAAAATATTTCAAACGTTCTCATTATTTTATTATATCTGTCATGGTGATCTATGCTCAGTGATCTTTGATGTTACCATAGTAATTATCTGTGGGTTCCATGAATCACGCCTATATATGACAGTAAACTTAATTGATAAATGTTGCATGTATTCAGACTGCTCCACCAGCTTGGCTCTTCCCCCTTCTCCTTCCCTGTCTTTGAACATTCCTGTTCCCTAAAAGCAGTAATACTGAAATCAGAGCAGTTAATAACTCTACAATGTCCTCTAATTGTTCAAGTGAAAGAAAGTCACATGTCCCTCACTTTAAATTAAACGCTAGATGTGACTAAACTTAGGCACATCTAAAGCTGAGATGGGCTGAAGGCAAGGACTCTTGGGCTAAACAGTCAGGTTGTGAATGCAAAGAAAAGTTCTTCGAGGGAATTAAAAGTGCTACTCCAGTGAGCACAAGGGCACTTAAGTGTTCTTGATGATATGAAGAAAGTGTTAGTAATCTGAATAGAAGATAAACCAGCCATAACACTCCCTTAAGCCAAAAGCGAATACAGAGCAAGGCCCTAACTCTCTCCAATTCTATGAAGCCTGAGAGATGTGAAAAGGCTGCAGAAGGAAAGTTTGAAAGCAGCAGAGATTGGTTCGAGAGGTTTAAAGAAAGGTAAAATAGCGCAAGCTGAAGCAGCAAGTGCTGATGTAAACGCTGTCGCAGGTTATTGAGAAGATCTAGCTAAGCTAATGGATGAAGGCAGCTTAACTAAATAACAGATTTTCAGTACAGACAAAACATCTATTAGAGACATCTAGGACTTGTATATCTGGAGAGGAGAAGTCAGTGTCTAGCTCTAAAGCTTCAAAGGATGAGCTCACTCTCCTGTCAGGGGCTAATGCAGCTGGTGACATCAGGGCAAAACCAATGATCATTTACCACTTAGAAAATTTGAGGGCCCATAAGAATTACACTAAATCAATTCTGTCTGTGCTCTATATATGGAACAACAAAGCCTCAATTACAGCACATTTGTTTAGAGCATCATATACTGAATATTTTAAGTCTAGCATAGAAACCTGCTCGGAAAGAAAGGTTCCATTCAAACTGTTACTGCGCACTGACAATGAACCCTCAAGAGCTGTAATGGACATGTACAAGGAGACAACATCCATTCTGTAGCTAATGGATCAAGGTGTAATTCTGACTTTCAAGTCCTATTATCTAAGAAATAAGTCTTATAAGAATGCAGCTGTTATAGACAGTGATTTCTCTAATGAATGTGGGAAAGGTAAACTGAAACCTTCTGGGAAAGATTCATCATTCAAGATTCCATTGAGAACATTCATGATTCATAGGAGGTAGCCAAAGCTTCAAGACTTCAGTGGAGAAAGATGTGGTAGAAACTAGTGGAGCCTGAAAATGATGACTGATGGAATCATCATCAAACTTGAATGGATAAGGTACTTCTTACGGATGAGCCAAGAAAGTTTCTTGATATGAAAACTATTTCTGGTGAAGATGCTAGGAACATTGTTGAAATGACAGCAAAGGATTTAGAACATTCCATAAATTTGCTTGATAAAGCAGAGGGAGGGTTTGAGAAGAATGACTCTAATGTTAAAAGAAGGTCTACCGCAGGTGAAATGCTATCAAACAGCGCCGTAAGCTGCAGAGATATTTTCTGTGAAAGAAAGAGTCCATTGATGTGATAAGCTTCACTGCTGTCTTATTTTAAGAAATTGCCACATCCAGGCTGGGCATAGTGGCTCTTTTCTATAATCCTAGTTACTCAGGAGGCTGAAGTGGGAGGACTGCTTGAGGTCAGGAGTTTGAGACTAGCCCGGGCAACACAGCAACACCCTATCTCTAAAATAAGAAATGAAAAAATTTAGCTGGATATGGTGATATGCACCTATAGTTCAGCTACTCAGGAGGCTGAGGTAGGAGGATCCCTGGAGCTCAGGAGTTCGAGGCTGCAGTGAGCTATGATCATGCCACTGCACTCCAGCCTCGTTGACTGACTGAATGAGACCTCATCTTTTAACAAGAAGAAAATAAATTGCCACATGCATCCCTCCTGTCCTATGGTTTGCAACCACCACCCTGGTCAGGAGCCATTCATGTGGAGACAAGACCCTCCACCAGTAAAAAGATTATGATTTGCTGAAGTCTTAGATGATCATTAGCATTTTAAACAATAAAGTATTTTTACATTAAGGTATGCATTTTTTAGACATAATGTTATTGCATACTTAATAGGCTCTATGGTATAACTTTTATATGCACTGGGAAACCAAAAAGTTTCTGTGACTTCCTTTATTATAAAGTTTATTTTAGAATATCTCTGAGTTATACCTGAACATACTGTATCACACACACACACCCCTACCTTTGGAAAATCACAGAAAAATGCATAAGATGACATTATATGAAACAGACAGTTGATACTGGAATGCAGAGTAATATATTACTTTTTCTTTATACCTCTACATTATTTGAATTATTAAACATGCATTGCCTTCCAATGCATGTTTCAATGCATTTGTTTAAATTGCTTTTCAAGTTTTCATGTATAAAAATTATTTAAACATGCATAATTATACAGTATGTACCATACACATATGTACATTAGTACCAAAGGTGATGTTTTCAAGTAAATGCTTACATTTTCTATTTTATAATAATTATTGTAATCATTCTGCTGAAAATAATATATTCAAGAAACTAGATACTAGTTACATGATTCTTATTTATAAACTGCCCCCCCTCACCAAAAAAAAGAAAGCACATGGGTTTCAGGAAACCAAGGGATACTTCCTGAAGGCTATATTTCCCTGATCTTAGAATTGACATAAAAAAATACCGAACAAGCACCTGTTTCTGTAGGTCTTGGAACAAGGACTACACACAACCTACTGGAGACATAAAGACTATAGACCACACTTCTCACTTGGGCTGAAGGAAAAGAAGGATATGCTAGAACATCCTAGTGGATGTTCCGTGGCTTTTCCCTGATACCAACCCTCTGTATGGTCCTGGGAGAGGCCCTGGCAATGTCCTCAGACTGCCATGTGTGAAAGTAAGATTTCTTTGTATTGTTTTCTTAAATAACATTCTCCAAATTGTATCAGTTTCAAGCTCTACAAAATCTGGTGTCCAGTTTGAAAGTAAGTGCAATCACAAAAGAACTGCTTTTTATCTAAAGGCATCAATATCATTATACACATAGTATTTATTCTTGAAGAGGTAAACTTCATTAGATATCTATAGTCATTTGTAAAACTAATATTTTGTGTTTGGTGTACCTGAGTGAATAGTGAATTGTTTCTAAGAACTTTAAAACAGTCTGTCCCAAAGAACAAATGTAGGATCAGTACTTAATGAATCACAGAGGAGATATACAGAACACCTGGACAAAAAGCGTAAATCCAAATTCAGCAAGACTGGCATGGAGGCAGTAAAGAAGCACTCACTGGCCTAGAGAGAAAGACATCCTCACTTAAGATGAAGTTGGTCAGACATGCAAATAGGAACAGAAGAGCCACAGCAATAAAAGCTAGTGTTACCACTACAAACTGTTAAAGGGAGACGATGGCAGGTTAGCCAATGAACTTAGATCTCAAATACAGATGGGTGAACAGGTTAATAATGAACATACCTGGCATATTTCTGAATCCACTAGGCAAGACACCCATCCTCAGAAACAAAAGGGCATCAGACTAATTTAGCTTGATTCCATTCGGACATGTAATTTATCTAATCCTCCTTGTTCTAATTCCATGTTCACCAAATAAACATTTTATTGCTACTTGGCTTCCTAAATGATTCTGACCCCATGGGATGCCAACATTCTGATCCTTGTGACTGCATCATACATTTGCAGATCAATAAAAGGGGAGTCCAGTTTCTACATCAATCACATTAGCTTGCTTAATAGGGCTGGATTCTGAAACAGGAATCCAATTTCATTTGCTCTTGAGTCGCTGAGGCCAATGGCCAGACCCTGATGGGGATCAATGCAAGAAGGGACCTCTTGGGGAAACATCACGCCAGCCTTTCCTTTTCAAGGTGCCAGTCCCTGTGTGACTAGTTTAATTTCCAATCTGTATTTTAATTATCTTCACTAGACATTGTCAGCAACTCTGTCAAACAACAAAATGCCTAAAGTAAATATAAACAAGATGTACATAAAATGAAAAACATGTAAATCTTTTACATTCCTTTTTTCAAACATAAATTTATGTCATATTATATTTGTTAAGTATCAATTTATTCCAGATAACACTTTCTGAGCTTCTAAGTTTTTTAAAATTATTTTTACCTATGTGATTGATTATTAAGGTTTAGCGATCCGGTCTGGTACATCTCCTCCAACTGTTTCCTGTTTCCAAAGTATAAAGCAAGGTCTGTGGCAATGATGGCTTTGCGGATGATCTCAAGCACCTGTTCATATTCACTGGAGCTCAGGGTGGAGAAGATATTGTGCCCTTCCAACTATGGAAAAAATACAAATAAAAACCACCAATAACAAGCACAAGCTCTAATCTTATGACTTTTTCAGTTATTTGAAACAATATAGTCAGTCAATGACATTTGGCACATTAATGAAAGGTTTGGGGGGAAAAAAACAATAGTTTGAAATGACTAACAAAATAGTATTTTGCCTATAGAAACAATGAAGTTACCACTTAAAGCAACTATTTCAACTACAATCACATCATTTACTACCACAAAAACCCAGTGATTTAAATATACCTAGTTCTTGCATATTTCTAATAAAGAACTTGAAAATGTAAAATATTTAAGTTAAAGACTTTTGCTCTTAAGCTAATTAAAAACTTCAGTAATTTTTATATTATACTGGAACCTTAAAGGGCTTAAAAAGCCATCTATATATTTGTCCACTTCAGTTTGTAACATATCACAGCATGCCTAATGAATAGTAATGTATTTCTCTGTATCCTACAAGAAAATGTCCTACAACCTCAATATAATGCAAATTCAAACACATCAAAAACTCTACGGGTAAAAATACCTTTCCATAAAGCATAAATTACTGAAGGTGCAACAAGTCTAGGATCACCACTATTCTCAACGGAGGTGGAAATGGCAGATCATCACCCGAAACAAGACCAGAACACTGGTAATCTGGATTCTATTGGCTCATAATATTCTTCTGTGTATTAATCTTTTAAAACAATTTCTAATAATTTCTTCCTCTGAAGATTTTAAGGTTTCGATTTGTAATTGAGAAAAAAAAAGCTTTTGTTGAAACTAAAAAGTTTGAGATAATTAAGACGCATTCAATTTGTAGATTCATCAATCACTTGATATTATTTCATTATTAGTCAATATAGTACTACTCTAAGTTGATTTTTAATTAATTTCACTTTTCTTAACATACATTTATTGACTTAAAATACAGTAAAAACAAAATGATTGAAGTATATTTCTTTACAAAATTAGACATCTCACTAAGACACTGTCTCTTCATATTCTGAAATGAAACTGTACATGCACCATTTGTTTTCAATTACTAGAATAGTCATATATTATTTGCTCTTAAAGTCTTAGACGTATTTGAATTATCATATGACAAATGCAACAAATGGACTCAGTTGTAGTTATTTTCCTGGCAATAACAGTAGTAAGGCCTTACAATTGTAGGAAATTCTACAGCTTATAAAGGACTTTCAAACACATGCCTTTACTTTCAAATTCTAACACTTATATTATAGTTCAGAGTTCCCACATGGACTGTGCATGAGATGCTATGAGTTGAGCCGTTTGAGCACAGGTTGGTTAGTGACCGATGGGGACAAGAGGAGGGGAGTCAAGCTTTGGGCTGGTGGCTGAACCCAATTATCATCCAACCTCAACTCTCCTCATTTTTGTTGTAGAAAGTCAGAAGAAGGAAATATTTACTCTGATTCATGCTGTGGTATCTGCTTTCCTTTGATGTGACCACCACCTCTGCATCAACACTTAATGTCTGTGACCTGTGTTTCCCACTTCATGTTTCAGTATGTCTGGCTGGTGCTCATGTACCTATCTGCTTTCGGCAGGTCACGTGAAGGGAATCACAGCTGATACACTTTTAAGCTTTGTATTTGCATGCTCCACTCTCTTTATCACCAATAATTACCACCATAACCTGTTAAATTATAGTACATAAAAAGTCAAGTCTGCTGTTGAAATTTTTTAAAAAAATTCTAAAATAAGGACTCCTTAGCCTAGGCTCTATAAATTCTGTTGGGGACAAAAGAGTTATAATGTCACTGTAATTCTACATAATACACTGAGTGTGTCATCTGTAAGCTCATGTTTTTATCAGACTCCCAAAAGTGTCGACTGACCCAAAACTACGATTCATTTTAAATAATTTATGCTATTTCAGAGTCATTACTTTTCAGTATTAAAGGAAACTAGGTTAAAAAGCTCAGTAGAGGGCTTTTATAATAAAAAGGCATAACTCATTTTCTGTCTCCTTCGATATTTTACAAGAGTAAAGGGAACGAATGAATAAACAAAAAATAAATGTCTCCCTTTTCTTTAATAGAATCTAGCATTTACTGCTACCCAAACTAAAGAAAATAAGGCAGGGAGACACAAACAATGAAGCACAGCAGATAAACAGTATCTTCTTTAAACCTCCAATCTCACATTTGTTAACACATAATAAAACCTTATAATACAATGTAATATTCTTATACACCAATTGATAATTTTATTATAGTTAAGGAGTTTGAAGTCTATGTTAATTCAAGCTAGCTGATTCCATTTTGGATGCATCAAGCATGGAATAGTAAACTTTTTATACCCAGGAATGTTTTTAAAACTTAACAGGAATGAACAGCATGTAATTCTCATCTCTGTGAAAGCACACAGGCAGGCTCTGGTTGTAAATGCTGTGGCTGAGGTCTGATGTTAGAGAATGGAAACAATGTGGAAATTGGTGCCAATGCTTAAAGATGACCCAGGGACTCCCTTAAATAGAGGATCGTCAAAATACCTTCCAGCCCTTAATCATGAGGATCCTAAAGGCTCTGAGTATTCTGTCCACTCCTGGGGCATTAGGGAGCCACTGCTTTCTTGCCACATCTGTCTTTCCCATCACAATGAATAACATACAATATGTCTTCCTTTTTTTGGCAGACATTTAATCTGTAGTGTTCCATTTTGTGTAAGAACATTAGTAGTTTGGTAATTACTATATCCAAAGTCCCAAGCAGTGTAAGTTTCATTTTTTAAGGAGTTGACAGTTAAGTGGAAGACATCTGGGCATAAAAGCATGTAATTAAAATAGAGTGGAATGTTCTCTATGACTGAGCTAAATACATTACTATGGAAGAAGTCCTTTATTTACATGGAAGGCTTTTCCTTGGTGAGGACGTGAATTCTGAAAGACGAGTAGAGGTAGGAGGAGCAGCACGTGATGTGGAGCAGCTGAGATCACAGAAATAGTGATATTTGGTAGGAACTATAGAAAGTCCATACAGCTAAGCAAATTGAGTAGGGAAATAGGGAGTAATAACCTCAAATAGTTTTTTAATGGCTTGATTATGGAACTGAAATACTATCTTGAAGGTAATTATGAGCTGTTGACAATTTTCAGTTAGGTGGCGATATGATGAGATTTGTGTTTCAGAGCTGTCATTCTAGCAACAATGTAGACTGGAGGCAGGCCAGAACCAAGGCAGGAAGACTGACTGACAGATCTTCCTCAGACAGTTTAAAACATATTATTATTAATCACAAATATTGCCTCAAAAAGTCCTATGATGCTAGGCTCTATTAAGGAGATTCTTATGGAAAGACCCTGAAGCTCACATTTCTATGCCTGCATGACAAGCAGTCCAGGCCTTGATCTTCAGCAATCCTGCCCCACTGTGTCAAGCACTGCTATAGGAAGCCAGAGGTGTGGGCTGAATTGTTTACATGCTTTAGGAAAAATAAGTCAATGATGCAACTAAGTGCATCAAGCACTCATGGCGGCAATGCCCCTAAAACACATAGAATATGGATTTTGAAATTTAATTACCTAGTACATAACACCACCTATTAGGAAGCGTTACAGTATGGTAATTAAGATCACAGATTTTGGAGTCAAATAATTCTAGTTTTTAATGTCATTCTGTATTAGTTATGTGACAAATATATTACTTAGACTCTTTGATGCATATTGCTCTCATTTGTAAAATGAAAATAATAATACCTATCTTATGGGGATATAATAAAAATAAGCCGTATTAAAATATGTGCAAAATACTTAAGTTTCTGGTTCACTGTTTGCACCCAATACATGATAAAACGATGACTATTATAACAATGATGACTAATGATGATGATGAGGAGGAGGATAAAATCTACCAGTGTAACTTCCACAGTCAGAATTAAGGGAAAGAGAGATGAACAAACAAATATATGCCTAGGAATGAATCTGATAGCCAAATACTTTTCCATTCAGAACATATCTGTAGAAAAGGACAGATTTAAACTAGCCACGATGTCATATATTTCGGATTATTAGCACAGGTAGTGTTGAATAGCAGTACAATAATTTTGCTGTAATTGTAATACATAACAGTAAATTATACGTAGTGCAGACGAATTGGAAGAACTCTCTAGCTGAGTCACAGAAATAGTACTGCTATACAGACTAGTGAGAAGCCATGGGATCCCAAAATGTGGGTATAAATAGATAATTTTCAGAAATATGACCATATTTCAAAAGCAACAGATAATTTAAAATTAGTGGAATTTTTAAAATAGTCTTAATAATGAGAATAATCATTCCTAATTGGTCTATTTTCTAAAATTTTGGCTATTTTCAAAGTCAAAATGGGGTACTCACAGAAGGCAAAAGAAAGAAAAAAGTATAGTTTCAATATTCAAAATAATCATTAATATCTCATGAGTAAACAGAATAAACTGATTTAATATTCCAGCAATAGTGGTTCTATCACAATTACTAATTGTAAGCTAGTCAGTTTTAGGCAAGAAAACAAAGCTAACCTACTTTCTTGGATGTAACAGTTCCCACAAACAGTCTCCTCACTTGAAGGCATTCTGCAATCTCCTCACCTGAAGGCATTAAATTTGCCTTCTGCTCAGCTTCTGGGCTCTCTGCCCAGCCCGACATAGCTACTCACTTTCCTGACATAAAGCTTCAGTTTCAGGTCTCTGAGCACAGGTTCCGCCCACTCTGCCCTTCTCCCCATGCTCAACCTTCACATTTCCCCCTGTGCCGTATCAACGACCCCAGAGGTGGGCCTGTATGTCTGCAAGTGAATAAGGGGCAATGACTCTCCTTATCAACTTCTAATTCAGAAAAGGTGGGAAGCCAAACTCACAAACAGAAAATTTCAATACAATGTTAAAAAAAAAAACTAAACGACCACTAAGATGTATGTATGCCTAAGGTGCTCTGCGCTGTGTAAAAGGGGTGCAGTGATGCACCCCAGCGAGGTGGGGATGCACGCAAAGAATTTTACTGGATGAGGTCATACCTGAGTGGGTGGCCACAGAAAGGGTGGGGGGAAGTACATGTGGAGGAAACCCAGCCAGTGGGACAGAGTTAAGATACGATCTGAAACTACAGAAGCAGAGTAGATACTGTGGTCCTGAAACAGACAGGGGCCTCTCATAAAAGACTTGTGTATCAACTGAGAAACCAGGAAATGACTCCTGACGCCCTGGGGAGCCACTAATGGCTTTTAAATAGGAGAAAAACATATCCAGGCATATATTTGGAGGAGTGATTTGAGAGACAAGCACTTGGAGAAACAGTGATGGATAAGGGGGGAAAGGTGCAAAAACAGACAAAATACAATGAAGGCTGAAACCGGGATGTCAAGTAGGGACGGTGCTTGACACTTTGGAGGCTGTAGAGGCCAGAGGGGCAAGATTACCATTTACTAGAGACCCAAGTGAGACTTTCCTCTCTGCTAAATGTCCACCATGATCTACACACTGTGATGGGCCCCAAACACCGTGAACACAATCCTGATGCCCAGCATTTGGACACCATGGGAAGCTCAGGGAAAGATGAGAAGGGAGATTGACCTTCTCTGCAGATGCTCTTATACTTACCCTTACTCCATGACTTAATCTCTTCCCACTGCCCACTCAACAAGGGACTACCTACTGCATTCCTATCACTGCGACCAATGTCAAGGCAAGCTGTGAGCAAAAACACACTTCCTGCTTTTCTACCATGAGTAACATACGTGTGTGGATCTGTGTATGTATGTGTGCATAGCGGGAGAGAGAGAGAAAGAGCCTGAAGGTTAGATTTTAAAGTAGAGAGAGAGAGCCTGAAGGTTAGCTTTCAAAGTCTATTGTATTATTCTCCTTGCTTGCCGTTGTCACTGTGTTGGCTGGCAGTACTCTTCTGAATGCCCTGCTTATCCGATAGATGCCATTGGCAGCCATACTGAAAGCTGTCCCTCAAGTTGGCAAAACTATGATAAGCAGCTCCATATGCAGTACACACCCGTGAAGATGCCTGACAGGGAACTATTTCCAACCATGACATGCAAAATTGCTTATGTTGTATCTGGCTCTGTGGCCAGAGGATGGACAGTGCCATGCTCACGATCATCTACTTAGCAATGCAGATCAAGAAAGCAATGGGAAAAATCTTTGGTGGATAAACAGAAGTATCACAGGTATTTATATCATGAAAGTACACATTGTTCTTATTTTAATGACTGGAAGTTGGAGTTTTTAACTGTTACCCAAGGATATCATCTTAATTAGTCAAGCTTGTAGGTGTCTTCTGATGAAATATAAAATCAGCAGGACTTGGTGGTAATGGGATGGAAGAATGGGAAGGTAAGGCTAAAGAAGGGAAAAGGATGACTCTAAGGTCATCAGCCTGCATTCCTGGGTCAATGAGGTTGCCATCAAAGAGAGAGAAAATACAGAAGGCACCTACGTAAGTATAACACCAAGCACAATTCAGGCCATATGGAATACACAGTTCAAGCGCTTGGGCAGAAGTCCGACTGAGCACTAGGCGGAATTACACGGGTCTGAGAGTCCTCAGGATATCCTGTCAGTTAGAGCCACACGTGTGCCAGGTGGTGAGCCAATGAGAACAATGTAAGGGCAGAAGTCAGGGGACTCGGGCATTCCTCACTCTACACTGTGAGTTCCAGAGGACAGGGATTTATGTTTGTTGTTTATCACTACACTCCCAGTGCCTAAAACAGGTGTTGGCAAATAGAAGGTGCTCAATAAATATGTTTGTTGTTAAACTGAATTTTAGGGACCAGGAGATGAATCTGAAAAAACACTCAGAGAGGCATCATGGGGATAACTGCAAAATCAGCCAAGAGTACAGACATTTTCAGAAAAGGAAGATACTCTTCTGACTATTCCTGCCCAGGTAGATGGGGCTGTCTGTTTATTATCCCAATATTATTATTTCTCCCTGGGCATAGCCCAAATGGAAAGGTTTTTGTCAACCAAATATATACATTTGTTTTTTCAAACTGGTGGTGCTTTTTATCTGAATTTGCAGCAATCCCTTGTTCTTATTCTCAGCTTCTGTTTTTGCAGTGTACCTAGTACCTTATCTTCTCTAAGCAGGAGAACGAATTTGCTATTACTACCTCACCAATGACTGAAATTCCAGCTCTAATATCTGAACCTGTTCTCCCATACCTTTTTAAATGCCAACAGCTTACCTGTCTCAACTTCACTTATTGCCATGAGTTCTTGTTACTAGTTCTGATCATTTTTAGGAACGCTGCATTACATAATCTGCAATCTCCACCTTGCTGAGGGTTTGCCAAAATGGAGGCAAATCACCCTAAACATCCATTTTTGATGGCAGCAACTGGGCCAAGACTTCCCAGGGCTTAGGTGGACCTGGAGCTTCCACATTCCCACCTGCCTTCATGTGACTGCCATATTATAAGGTTTATTTTTTATTCTACTCAGTAGCAATAAAGTTTGCAATTCTGACCTACCTCAACACTAATCCTATTATACTTAAAATAGGCTTTCCAAAGAAACTCTATATTGGCTATTAAAATTCAGTTGTGATTAAACTGCTAGCAATGTTGGACTGTCAAATGCACAAATTCATTTAGAACATGGGATGCTAATTCAGTGACTCCTGATTATTTCTAAGTGAAGTCATCCTGATGTTGTTTCTGACATTCTTCTTATGCAAATAGTCTCAAATGATGAGTGAGGTCAAAGTAGATATAAGCTGTCATGAAGTTTTAGAATGTTCATCTATTTACAAAAACCATGTTTTACACGTATGTATAAACATGTATACATACATAGACACACACACATTTTATCTTGTTTAAATTTCTATGTATGCTTGTTTTATGCATGTATGTATCTATCTATCCAAACATATGTCATTTAAAAGAGCTGGTATGAAGCAAATGACAGGAATGGTGACTACATGTGGCTTTCAGGACTGAGCTGGCCCATGAGCAAGCTCAACATCTGCTACCTACTGGGGATGGCTTGAAAATGACTAAACTAGCTCCGTATCTAAAACACTGTTCACTTTTACCCAGCAGGTAACTAGAAGAGCACGCACAATAGAGTAAGGTGATCATTTACCTGCATAGGCCTGAGGAAATGAGACCTGGACAGGTAAGTTTCTGAGTTTTAAAAAGGACTGAGCGTGCAGCACTGCCAATCACGTGGACAGTTAAATGAGGAGGCACTAATAGAAGCCTTTGGAAAACTGAGGGGAGAAAAAAAAAATCCTGGCGTTTAGAGGAGGCCCAGCCTGTTCAACAGAGAAAAACTGCACCAAGTGGCAAAGTCTTTCTGCTTTGCAATTTGCCTGTGGCCAATTACTGGTAGATTCACTGCTGGCATTTTGCTGTGACATCCAGAAAACTCAAAACCCTTTCCCTTAGACACATCATCAGAAGATGTAACAACAATTTCTCTTCCTAATTAGAGATGCTGACAGTGAAAGGAACACACAGGGTCCACTATCTTAAGCCGCACACAGATTATATTTTCAAAAATTGTTTGTGAGAGGAATCAAATCATTAGGATGTAACAGCTACCTTTTAAAGGTGAGTTTGAGAAAAACCATTTAAGAAAGAAGGAGCATATATATCATATTTAAGTGATATCTGGGATTGTCTATACCAATTACCAAGAACATCTTAAAAGCAAGAAAGTAATAAAACAGACAATGTAAAAAAAAATAAGATGGCTACATACAGGGCACTTAAAACCTTAAATTTATCTAATTTTAAAGATTTACTGTTTAATACGTTCTGGTTCAAGAATAAGTTAATCTATAAAATTAATTGATTTAAACTATGTAAAATAAGTATTGCTTTAGGATTACATGTACTTATTGATGTAGTATTTTAAAAACAAATGTGATTGCAAAATACATATATTCAAAATCTTTGTAAAGAATTCTTTATGCAAAAAACACTATTATTTAATTATGACTATAAATATAAGGTCCTACAATAAAATGCAGCTGTTGGTTTTGAGGAAGCCATACCAATCTTCCTTTTCCACCTATGAAGTATCACTATCTCTTAGGCAGCCCTTCAGACAAAGCGGGAGATGGTGCGAGGGGACTCACCTGGAGGATGGACACTGTCTGGGAGAAGTGGTGCTGCTCCATGGTGGAGGTGGAGTAGAGAGCTGCCAGAGGGTGGTCGAACTTCTGCAGGTAGCTGTTACTAAAGCCCCTGTGGTCCAGGTCATGACACAGACACGCAATCAGCAGTCCTTTGCGCTTTAAAAGATAATATGATGCAAAGATATTCAAAACACAGAAACAAACGAGAGCACACTTACAGCTCACATTCATGTCACATTACTTTCTGGCATTAATACAGCAAACACCCTTAGGGATATTTGAAATTCCAGATAATCTAACTTACTTGTAGCCTCTTTCTTTGTTTCTCTGCTTATGAATCTGACAGTCAAATTATTTTTGAGTTTCTCTCTTAACTCTAGGAAAAGGTGCAGGAGGTGTCAAATGAAAGGTGGTATAAAACAAATGTTCCAAAGAATTACAGATAAAGCAAAACTGCACAAAGAAAGAAAAGCCAGTTTCTGTAAAATCTATTCGGTATTAAATTCTAACAATGCTATTGCTATTATAAACAATAAATATAGTAACAGGTAAATCATATATCACAGGTAAAAAAGGCAAACATATAAGAAAAAGGCAGAGCAGGCTAAAGGGAATTAGAGGGAGTCAGGTTGGTTATGAAATAAAGTAGGCAGGCAGGCCTCATGAAAAGGCCAGGTGTGAGCAAAGACCTGAGAGAGAGGAAGGAGAGGTGGGCAGAGTGTGGGAGAGGACCACACCGGGCGCGGGAGCAGTGAGAACACACACTTGAAGACGAGTGTGCCCTGAGACTTGGAGGATTGGGAAGGCGGCCAGCGGGGCATGGTGGGGGAAGGCAGTGATCACGTAGGCCGTATATTCTCAGTGATCGGGGGAACTATTGGTACAGGGTTTTAGCAGAGCAGTGTTATCATCTTGCTTATATGTTTAGAAGATTATCCTGGCAACTGTGTTGAAAACAGACTCCAGGGGGATGAGAGATCAGTGAAGAGGTTTCTAAAGTAATTGAGACAAAATGTAATAGAACTTTAGACCAGGATAATAACAATGAAAACTTCTAAGGGGTGATTAAAGTGTGGATGCAATTTGCAGGCAGAACCAACAGGATTTTTTGACTGTCAGGGTGTGAAAAGGAAGGAGGTGAGGAGGAGTCAAATATGACCTCAAATTTTTTGGCCTTAGAAGCTGTCATGATTACCATCAACTGATACGGGAGAACTGTAGGGGGAACGGGTTTGAGGAGAGAGGTCAGGAGTTCATATTTAGACTGGGTGAGAAGTCTACTCAATAGGCAAGTGGAGATTTTGATTTATCAGGTAGAAGCTATTGAAACCTCAAGGTCTGGAGATAGCCCTTGGCTGGAGAAATGAAACTGTCAGTGTTCACGTGGCATTTAAGGCCACGTGATTGGCTGAGCTCACCAAGGTCATAGTTTGAGGATGGAAAAGGGTCAAGGTCTAAGCTCTCAAGTATTCCACCTTTAAGTCTGAGGAAAGAGAAGGTATAAGAAACAACAACAACAAAAAACCCAAGGGAGGAACAGCCAGTGCATCTGCAGAAAAACCAGAAGCCGAGTGTCCCGGGACTCAAGTGAAGTCACTGAGTGCTGACCCTTTGATCTCACAAGGTGCAGGTCACTGGTGACCTGGAGCAGGGCATTTTCTGGGGTGTTAAGGTCAGAAGCTTGCTCTGAGTCATTTTCAGAAAGAATGTGAGGAGAGGATTTTGAAAGAGCCAGTAGGTTAACACTTACATGGGGTTTACTGCAAATAAGAGCTACGAAACAGGGAGGGAGCTGAGCAGAGCAGCAGGTCAGCGCATATTCTAAGACGGAAGTCAAAAAGGCACGCTTACATGCAGATGGCAATGATCCAGAAAAGAGGGGTGAGAGCATGATAATGGAGGAAAAGAGAAGAGTGGGAAGCATTGCTAGGCAGTGTTCTCAAAGAGGTGGAGGTGACAGAGATGGTAAAGAGAAGGGTCAGCTCTGGAGAGGAGTGTGATGATTTAAGGGAGGTGTGCAAGGCAGAGCCTGCTGAAGGCAGACACTGACAGATGGGGGTGCTGCTACGGGAGTCAGCAGAGGTTCTCACAGGTGCATTTTTAGCGATATGCCTGCTTCTTCTCTATCCTGATAATGCAGAACTGGTTTTTCCCATAACATAATTGGAAGGGAAATCTCACGAGTAACCCCTAACTCCATGAAACATCATGTTAGCAATCACAGTTGCCTGGCATTCTTAACATAACTGAATTACTTATGTTGTTAGTATCATTTTGTTTTGGGGTGGTTTCCATCTTTATGCTGCTGTGTTATCACCATGTACCTGCTAAGAAATCTCAAGGTTTTATAATCTTGCACAATACGTAAAAGTTATGATCTTTCCAGTTTTTAAACACATTTTTAAAATTGATATGACTTTCAGTAGTTTTATTAAAGGTGTGCCAGAATCATACATCTTAAAATAATGTATAAAGAATTATCCTTGTTAAGCATTTCCTTTTAAAAAGATCAAATGATAATTTCTAATGGTTCTGTTAGAGATTAAAATTCCTCTTTATAAAATATGTTTTAAATATTTGCATATGTTACTTGGGGATTGTTTTTCAGCCAAAATGATCTGAGGTTTTGGGAAAATGTAATGATATAATTCCAGAAATGACGCAGGAACTTAAATGAGAGTCAACATGTGTCAACAGTTTTTCTCACTTATCTTTAAATTTTCAATTTTTGAATATGAATTCCAATGCTATTTGAAAGTATAATTTCTATAGTTCTTAAACTCACAGGGTATGGCAAAATGGCAAAATGAGACAATGAAATTGATTACTTAAAAGGAACAGAATGGAGAAGATACTGAAAGTCTCAATACACAGGTTTCAACAGAAAAGGATATTGTTTAGACAAATATGAAAAAAGAAGAGATTTCATCTGGATCTTTTGGGGGGAGGTTATAAATAATAAATTACTGATTAGGCTAAACTCCACTTGAACTAAAGATTTAAAAAAAAAACAACTAGAGGATAATTTTTTATTCTTTCTTTAAAATGCTACGTTTTATTTGTTTTTTGTTTTTCCTAGAATGCATCTTTCGAGTTTTCCACTCAGACCGTGAATTTGGTCCAGTAGGATGGAAAAAGGATAGGATGGACCTTCACAAGTACTGGATTCTAGTTTAAATGTGAATCTGAGAAAAGCACAATTTATTTATCACAAAGATGACAGCTCCTTTCTCTGCCCAGTCTTATGTCATCTAAAAGATGATACCAGTTTTACAAAAGATAGAAGGGAGAACTCAATCTAAGGTGTGAGTAGACACTAACAGGCCCCACGTGGTCAGAAGGAGGAATATCCTTCAGGGTCAGGATAGTCCAGATGTGGAATCAGCAACCTTTGTGGCCAGCAGTCACTGAACACTTAGCCTGGCTTTCAAGTAAGGGAATTTGACTGTGGTTGGTGAATGGAAGTGGCAGTCTCCAATTCTAACTCTGAGATTCTGAAAGCTTTGGATATGTCACTAACTCTGGGTATTTAAAGTCAGGTAAATTAATTAAACATTTCAGACCCTTTGCTTCCTCACGCTGGAGGAGATCAAAACCACTTATGTCTTCACTGTATTTAATACTCTAAGTTCTGAAATTGGCAGGATAGGTCGACATTATCCAGGGCATATAAGCAATGAATAAAATTCTCTGTTTATATCCCTTCAGAATATTTAAGCTTTAATAGAGAAGAGAGACTACAAAATTAGTGTTTCCTTGGGGGATATTTTGGTGAAGTTAAAATTTCTTTTATCTACATTTCTTATACAAAATAAGATGCTAAATGTTTGGGTATAGGAATCTAAAAATGGGCTGCTATTGATTTATTGAAACAAAATTTTTCTTAGAATAACAGGTCACAAATCCATGTCAACAGTGTGCTCCTGATAGGCAGTATTCAATCCACTGAGGTTACGAGGAACAGCGGTAAAGAGCGCACACCCACCTCAAGATCTGTGAAAAGTGTGTGGTTGTTCTGAAGTATGGCGTACATGCAGTGCGCCACAGTGACCGCATGCTTCCAGTTGTGATAGGGAACTCGCCGGTAGTTCTTCTTCACAGACATAATAAAACGACACAACTTTTCAAGCTCAAAGCTGCATGGAAAAGAAATTGTTATGACTGAAACCAGTAGCAAATCACTATGTTGTAGGAGAACCCTCTAGTTTAGGTACACATATGTCTGTACCCTTATACTAGTGCAACTCTAAAGATTTCCACGCTGACTGAGTCCATGAGCACTGAAATCTCAATCACCATTTCCTTTCCATTTCTCCAGCAAAAAAGGAGAGAGCAAAGATTCTTTGATAGTATCTGTTCTGATATAGTAACCGTCCCGCCAGTGAGAAAATACCAGCATTAGCACGCAGTCACCCATCGCCGGCCCTCATGATCTTCCTTAGTTTTATCTTCATTTCCGACACCCCACAGTGCTCAAAAGACAACACAGCACCATCTTGCTAAAGGGTATTTTGAGCTAATATTTTCCAAAAGGAATACTCAGACTTATAAACTGGAAATATCATGAGACTTTTCTAGAGTGACTATACTTTCAAAGTAATTGCAAAGTATTAAGTATTATTATACACTCAAGTTAAGTATCAAATGACCATATCCAAATACTGACACAGTATATAACATAATATGATGTATATTTTTACATATATGTTATACTTTATGTTTACATATTTTTATATTATGTACTTAAGACCCTACAAACCCTCAAAATAGATTTGAGACAGCTTAAATCAAAAGTATATATAAAACAGGGATTTCTAAAATATCAAGGAAGTCGAGAATTCATAAAAACTTAACATATAACCTGTGTTTTTCTCTACTGAAAATTTTCAAATGTCTTTGAAGTATAAGGCGTGGCATTTTAAGAATTCCAACTGGTCAAACTCTCAGCTGCATTCTGAGAATTAACTGGAGTTAGGTATCCTACGTGCCTCCTTTTGAAACACTCATTTATGAAAAGTCACAGCTAGAAAAGACACAGGCTTCAAGAAGAAGGCCAATTTAGTTCTAGAGAAACTAAGAGGCTCTATAAGACATTTAATTCCTAAATGAGTAAAAAAGAGCAAAAGAAAACCATTCTTGCATTTTAACATTGTGTGTTTACACTGTAAAGGATCAGTTATAAAGTCAGGAAAGGCCTCTATGATAGGCCAAGGTGAGTGGGGAAAGATTTGCAATAAAATGGTGCCGTAATTAAATTACTGACAAAGTACCACACTTTGAATAAGGAGGCATGTTACTTTTTGATCTATCCTAATAGATATATGACGTTAAGTTGAAAGTTGATGCTAAATTTACACACAGTATTCTAAACATGGTTTTTAAAAGTATATAATTCTGGTTAGTAGTAACCCCTGTCTCTTTCAGTTACACAGGCAAAGCAGTTCCAGCCTCTGTTTTTATGAAAGCTTTTTAGATTTTCTAACCAGGCTACAGCCACGGTGCTAGATAACCCAATAGCCCCTACAGAGAATCTGAAAAGACTGTGTATTTGTACAATAATCTCAGCCCTTTTTATTTTGAATATTTAGAAAAAAAAGTAATGCATATATGTAATATTTTTAAATGATTATAAACAAAGATGGTAGTGGCGAGGCATCTACATAGAAGGAAGAAGAGGTTATGTCACCCAAAATTTCAAAAAGTAAATTTTAAAGGCAGTCATACCAGGATGTCCCACAGGACCGATGAACCATATAGACAAAAATTCCAGGCCACATGTTTTCGAAAGGACCAATGTCAAAGTGGAATCTGAAATTTTAAAAGGGCAGTTTATCACTAAATGTAATTAGAATAAACATAATAACTAAAGAAAATAATTTAACTTTTTGTCCCAAGGAGCTTAAGAGACACCAAGAGCTCAGCCATCCCTTTTCCTGCCTTCTCAGCCACATCTCTCTGGTACTGAAGATTTCCAGGAAGAAATTCCACATATTCCCTTAGAAATCTAGTCCAATATTTGAGGTATTGATTCATTTTCTATTAATCTGTTTAAAAATGAGGCTTCATTTGTTATCAGAAAAATTAAAAGTACTAAAAGGTATATTACAAATATTAGATACATATACAATCATAGAAGAGGGGGAAAGCCTCTTGGAGTTGTAATTGTTCTATCTCCCATTTTAACTGATAATAATTTCACCAATATAAACACCAAAGTTACAACCTATTTTTCATTTGCGAATTTAGTTACCAACATTAGACTTGAATAAACAGTATGGCATAATATATACTATAATTTTAATTGTAAGGCAAATATTAGACCTAAGTCACTTGTGAAGGTTGCCTATGTAGATAGTGTCCACTTACACTTACAGTGAACATAAACTTATCACAGGCCCCACCCTCTACTAACTTAAATATATTAACATAGGATTAAAAAATAAAGTATGAAAGTCAAATTATGACAACATTCTTAAATTTAATTTGGAAATTTAAATTTATATGGAAATGAGGACTTTCTGGTATCTGATGTTAAATGCCATTTTGAATGTGAAATATTACATGGTATAAAGTATGCAAGAGACTAATGAGAAATGCTAATGTTTAGGTTAACTCATTTCAAAACTGAGTTCCGATTTTCTTTTTTAAGATAATGAGATCTGGCCTTTATTTCCAAATCCTATCACAATATCAAATCACTTCAGAGGGAGGAAATGGCAACACATGGAACCCCACATGTAATATGTGTATCATAACTGTGACTCTAATTCTATAACCTGTTTCACTTTAAGTTCAATTCGATTAAAAATGGTTCCTGAAGAAACTGACAAAACAGCAGACTTACAATTCAATTTCCTTGCAGAGACGCACGGGAAGGGTGAACCGCATGAGGTCTTGCCACTCTTCTGCAGTACAAATGCTATGGTAGGACAGCTTTTCCATCGTTACCCGGTAAATGCACTCTGAGTGACGAATTCTATGATACATCTAGAAAGCAAATCCCAAAAAATCTCCCAAATTAAAAGAATGTTTAAATTGTTTTGTCACTGAAGTTCAGAATTAGGTTTTAAAGAATCAGAAATAAAATTAAAACCAAGGTGGAATTATTTTTTTATTATCCATATTTCCTTATACACTGGGATATGCATACATGACTCTGCAGATTCAAAGTAAATAGCTTTTAAAAAATGATATCAGTGTTTTAAAAGTTTTTATCAGACATTATCTCTGGTTAAAGAGATTACTTGGCATTTGTCTTCTTTCAAATGCTCTGTATTTCTAAATTTTTAAATAATGAAAATTAAGCACATTCATTTTATAATCAGAAAATGATATTAGTGCTTTTAAAGATCAATATAAGATCTAAGGTACTTCTCAATCTGTTAAAAAAATTTTTTTACTACATTTCACCTGCACATAAATTCAACTTCCTTGGGAAAGTTTTATCATTATTTCCTTCTCTGGTTTTTAGTCTTGACTGTATGTTTTTACTATTTGGGAAGTTATTGGTATTACAGCAATAAAGTCAAATGAGTAACACAAGTTTGCATTCGTCACAGACAGTGCCCATAAAGTATATAAATTGGTAATTACATTAATCAAAATGGATAGGTACATTTCACCATCCTAGTAAGTTGAAATCTTGTGTATCTATATCTGTGTGCAAATGTTTTACAAATAATTATAAACTAACATGTGAGATAAAATAAAAACATGCAGTGGAGCCAAAGGAATGGGTCAGTATTTATGCCTGTGAATTATTTAATAGGTGGGATTAATTAGCAACTGCCTAAAGTAAATTAATACTGAAACCACGGTGGTAAGCTAGAGTAGCTTTCTCAACATTTTGCACTTTTAAAATAACATTTTCTACAGAATAGCTCACCTTCTATAGGTAGGACTATCCAGTCCACATAAAAATATGAATGAAAGCCAGGCGCAGGGGCTCACACCTGTAATCCCAGCACTTTGGGAAGCCAAGGTGGGTGGGTTATCTAAGGTCAGGAGTTCAAGACCAGCCTGGTCAACATGGCAAAAACCTATCTCTACTAAAAATACAAAAATCAGCAGGGTGTGGTGGTGCATGCCTGTAATCTCAGCTACTTGGATGGCTGAGACAGGAGAATTGCTTGAACCTGGAAGGTAGAAGTTGCAGTGAGCTGAGATTGCACCATTGCACTCCAGCCTGGTGACAACAGTGGGAAAAAAAAAAAGAATGGCGCTAAATAGGTTAAGAGTGAAGATATTTTCGTTATTTCATCATTTTTAAATATTTAGCTTCATTCTTGGTGATCTCAGAGTCCTCTCATGTTTGATCATGAAAATCTTATCAGTAAACAAATTGTGGAAATGCAAACCCAATGAATGAATATACAGTTAGTAATTATATGCACACAAACAGTATTAATGTATTATTTATATTATAAATAGAAATTAAAAACATTAAAATTAAGTGGGTATATTTTAAAATATTTTACTTACCAAATAAGTCTTCGTTCTTATTAAAAAATTACATATTTCTAAATTAAAGTACTATAATTAAATGTTATTAATCATCAACTGCTTTAATACTTTTGGAAATAGTGATTTAAGGGATGGTTCAGTTTATTTCACGATTTAGATTTTCACTTCTACTATTTGAGAAAAGTATTCCTTAAGAAATATGTTGATTCAAATGGAATAAAGGTTGTATTGGCTGTGGCTAACGCCTGTAATCCCAGTGCTTTGGGAAGCAGAGGCAGGTGGCAAGCCCAGCCTGGCCAACATAGTTAAACCCTGTCTCTTCTAAAAGCACAAAAAAATTAGCCAGGCCTGGTGGCACACACTTGTAATACTAGCTACTCAGGAGGCTGAGGCACGAGAATCATTTGAACTGGGGAGGCAGGAGGTGAAAGTTGCAATGAGCCGAGACTGCACCACTACACGTCAGCCTCGGTGACAGGGAGACAGAGTGAGACGCTCTCTCAGAAAAAAAAAAAAAAAAAAAAAGTTGTGTTGGCTGTTCTTAAAAATTACACCTATATTTTTGTTTCCTAATGACTAATATGCTTGGTTGAAATTCAAATATATTTACATTTTTCTTGATGTCAATCAGTTGACCCTGCAAACTAATCAGCCGCATTTTTATATATTATCTAAACGGTTTCAAAATCAATGAAAACTATTTGTGGAGAAGATCTGTATCAGTTAAAACCTGCTTCATACAACAAAATCATTAAAAATTCTATTTTAAAGGTAGAAGGAAAGGGGGAATAAAGAACAGATTAAATACATAGAAAAACAAATAGCAAGATGGTGGATTTACACCTAAACATAAATGTGAATGGTCTAAACATTATGATTAGAAGTCAAGGACTGTCAGACTGAATGAAAAGTATGGGTCCACTATATATTGCTTATAAGATTTCTACTTGAACTACAAAGACATAGGGAAAAATTTAAATGATGGAAAAGCTATACTATTTAATACTAGTCAAAAAAAAGTTACAATGGCTTTATTAGTAATAACAGGCAAGGTAGATTTCAGAACAAAGACTATTATCAGGAATAAAGAAAATCACTTCGAGTAATGAAAGTGTGAGGTCATTACAAGGATATAACAACCCTAAGTGCTATGCACCTAATCAGATAGTTTTGGTATACAAGAAGCAAACAGTGATAGAACTGTAAGTAAAAGAGACAGATAGATAAACCCACAATTATAGTTAGAGATTTCATACCACCCTTTGAACTGAACTTCTCAAATATCAACCCAATCAAAACCCTAGAAGGCTTTTCTATAGGAAATTAAAAGCTGATTCTATAATTCATATGGGAATTCAAAGGACCTAGAATAGCCAAAACAACTCTGAAAACAAAGAATGAAGGTGAAGAAATTATATTGCCTAAATCAAATACTTATTATAAAGTTACAGTAACTAAAACAGTGTGGTAGTGGCATCAAGGGACACAAACAGATCAGCGGAACTAAATACAGAAATAGGACCACACACACGGTTAGTTGATTTTCAGCAAGGTTGCAAAGGTGAGACCATAAAGAAAGGATAGTCTATTCAGCAAGTGGTTATTTATTTATCTTTTGGCCAATGGATAAAATAATCCTCCCTCCTAATAAAGTTGAGAAAGAGCGTAGACTTAGAAGCGTAGGCTGGACACTGCTGTCACCTTTTCCTTGCTGCACAAGGCCCACTCTGTCAGAGAAGACTCTGCTTCCTGGACAAGACATAACCTTCTCATGCAGGAACTTTCTGAAAGCTCCATCCATGTGTTAATAATCAATAAAAAATAATTTCTTTAATAACATTTACCCAAAAACATCAAGATCCAAGTTTTCACATTTTCCTCAGACAACTTAATGGAATGTCACTTGCTTTCCACTTTAGAGATGATCGCGTAGATTCTGGTAGGAAAGTGAACCATATGCAGGATTTACTCAGCATTTACTGTAATTTGTATTACCTGTAATTCAGTGAAATTCTACGGTAAAGCTGCTAATAAGAGTCACTATACGAGACAGTAAAGTAACTGCTACTATAGCCATGAATCCTATTGAGCACTTGTGCCAGGCTAAGTGCTTTGCATGCATCATTTCATGTAAATCTCACAAAACTCCTACTCCTTTTATTGTCATTTTATGTTTATGATCTAAAATTGGAATTTTATTTATAATTTTTAATGTCAATATATTATAAATATATAAAAATTAAATTTAAATTTTTATTCATTTATTTTTTATTATTTTTGTAATCAGTATAGGTAAATAACACTAATCACAAGATAAAATTATTTAAAATCACAGCAAAAAATAATTAGTTTTGGAAAATTCATAGATATTTACTTTCCAATTGCTAAATGACTTTTTATATGAATAGCAGAAAATAGTATAATCTAGGATGATTAGCAAATGATTTTACCATATTCATCCTATTACAAGTTACTGATGAAGGTAGAAAAATATGTCGTCTTTCAAAGCACATTTTGCATACATTATTTGCCTCTAATGCTGCAAATCTTAGAGTCGCTATCCAAGTAAAACAGAATTCTAGCAGAAAGAACTGCTATTTGTCTAAAACTGAAATTTACTTTGCTGGCCTATTAGCTGTAGGCACGAGGATACTGAAAAGGTATATGCACTCAAAAGACAAAAGGATGAAGACAACGTGGAAAACGGGACTGTCAGCACATGTCTACCATTTGTTAAAAATACATCCATTCACGTTTTATAAAATAGCATCTCTACTCAACTGGCATACAAAAATATTTAATTAATGATTATTCAGAATGTTTTTCTTGGGGCCTATTTACACAGTAACCCTCATTACACTTAGAAATGACTGTGTCTACGAGACACTCTAATGTTTGTAGTTAACATTCATAGTAAACCTAGAGTCACTTTAGGGTCAGGCAACTCTTAGAAATCTAAACTCTGGAATCATTTATTTGTGTCGAATCGCTTGTCCGCCATTTACTAATTGTATACATTTAGGCAAATTACTTAATTCACCATTCCCCAGGATCTCATCTGTAGACTAAGGATACTACAGTACTTAGCCATGAACGAATGTTAAGGTTTAATGGAGTAACGGGTAAAGGCTAAGAACAAACACTGGCTGGTCACTGTGAAGCTCTCAATGCTAACAGCAATCTTATCTTAAGATGGATATCAGCACTGTGTTGCCATGCCATTTGACTCTTTTGTTTGATTTTGGTGAGAGTCAAGAACAGAGTCTACTTTTCTGTTGTGGCACTGGCACACTGAACTGGCTTGCAAGAGCCAATTATGCACATTTCTTCCCAACTCTGCATTCATTATGGCTTGTGAGTAGCTTCAAATTGTCAACATTGGGTGAATGTACACCAGAGAGGCCGGGAAACACACAAATCAGGATTGTTCTGTTTTCAGAGAGCTTGCTGTAAAACACTTACCGGCACACCACCTGGCACAGGTATTCTTTAAGATACAAGCAGTTTAACTTTGGGAACGTTTG